CATCAAACCCGCTATAAAGCCTGCAAAAAACAATTCTCTTTTTATAAAATTTTGATACATAAAGTAAGAGTTTAAATGTGATTTAAGTTGACCCTCGAAAAGCGAAATAGAAGTTTATTTAGGGACGGAGGGAGTAGATAATAAATGTTTTAACTCATTTTGAGATACTTTGCCGCCCCCCCTTAGAAACTGTTCTGGTTCCGCCTCTGGTCCTGTTTGAGTCTATGTCCCAATACGGAGTATAAACGAAGATTGTCAACGGTGTTTATGGTAAGGAATCATGCCCGATCTTTCATAGCAGCTCCGAGTTTGAAGCGGAACTCAAATCCCTTTAGGAAAATTATCGGTCCAGGACCCGAAAGATGAGCGTATTATCGATTTGGGACCCGAAAGATAATTTCAATCAATAAGGGACCCGAAAGATCGTAATCTATCGATTCAGGACCTGAAAATTTAACACTGTTAGTTTGTGCCTAACGGAATTTAACCTGAAAAAGTACTCTTGTGTAAAATATCTGTGCACATAGTTTTCTGGTCTTCCCTTCACTGAATTTATAGCAGCACAAGCATGAACACAAGGAACACCTGTCAAGTCCCATAACCTACAAGTACATGTGTGGTTCTCAAGGTGAACGACAAACCTTTTAGGTCGTAGTGTAACTTCAAATATCACTTCACCACACGAAATTGCAATCCACTTGGTAGATTCCATAATGCAAGCATTCAATTTCTTCAGTATGTTTGGACATATTAAGCCACCCTTAGTCCTCATCCTTTTTGTTTTTTTCTCATGAGATTCATTGCTTTAATCCTTATGTTATCAATTAGGATATCCACGTGGTTCTCTCGATACCTTTTTAGAACTCCATTGAAGCACTCAGTGGCGGCTTGAGAATTTCGGAGGCCCTAGACGAAAAAAATATTTATTACACCAAACCATATTGAAAATCAGATAAATGAAAAAAAAACGTCACAGAGTATTTAACATCTACAGATTCACGGAGTATTTACCTCATAAATAGAAAAATTATACTCCTTCATAATTAAATAAAAGATACTAAAACATAAGAAAAATAAAAATATTATTATACCAAAGTATATTGGTTTTAACTAAAAATAAAATACATTATGGCTTAAATGGAAAATACATATTCCGTATAAATATGATACCAAGTACAAAATTTAAAAAAATCTACATAAATACATTTGAGAGATGATACAAATAATTAGGAAGCATATCAATAGTGTATGGAGTAATTAGTTATGTACTAGTAGTATCTAATAAAAATGTCTTAAAGTCAAATGATATAAAAATCACAAGCAACGTGATTGAGCAACTTAATACCGTTTGGTTGAGTGGTAGGGAGGGTACAATTTTCGAGTTCAGGTTGTAGGTTCGATTCTTATAGAGGACGCATCACTTTCTCCATTATTTAGTTCATGCTTCACACGTGTTATACCCCTAATACTAATTTTTAATTTCATTTTGGAGGCCCCTTTGGCAGCTGAGGCCCAAGGCAGCTGCCTGGCCCAACTGGCCCCAAAGCCGGCTTTGGAAGCACTCAATGATGCTACTTGAGAACACGTGACACTTGACATGACTTTGAAAATGTGCTCTACTCCATCTCTCAACACCTATTTCAGTGAGATGTTCCCATGCACCATATTCCTTATCCTTCATCTTATTCATATATTTTTCAAAGTCACACACCATAGTGGATTTTGCAGCTAACCAAAATAGTGATCTAACTTGTTCGTCCTTCCACTTTTTCTGAAAATTGGTATACATATGACGCATGCAAAAACGATGATATGTAGAAGGGTATACTTCTTCAAGTGCAGCCACAAGACCCTATCAACAAAGAAAAAGTTTAAGCAATTTTTAAAGCATGTATATAAGTAATAAAATAATGAAATTAGTTAATATTTACCTTCCCTTGATCAGAAATAAATGTCCATCTCTCTCCATACATAGATGTTTGCCCAAGATCAGTCAACAACTTATTTAAGAACCATTGCCATGTCTCTCTAGTCTCAGACCCTACTATTCCATACGCTATAATGAATAGGCCATTGTTTCCATCAAGACCAACAGCAGCTAAAAGTTGACCACGATAGTATCCGTTCAAATGACACCCATCTATTGCAATTAGTGGTCGACACCCACTTACAAACCCTTTTTTACAAGCATCTATGCATATGTATATTCTATCAAATCTGGGTGGATCACTATTTCCTTGCTTTGGACACAATAGTTCGATAGTAGATCCAGGATTAGTCTTCAACAACTCCTCACAATAATCTGGTAGCCGTGAATATTGTTGAGCGACATTGCCATCGAGTGATTGGAGAGCACATGCTTTTACCCTGTAAGCTTTTGCGATACTAATTGTGACATTATATTTTTTATATGTAAGATCTTTCACTTCTTCTCCTGTCATTTTTGGATGTTGTCTGATGTCCTCAATTAACTTACTGCCCAACCACTTGGTATTAGCAAACTTCTCTTTCACTTCCGTCTTTTGACAATTATGACTGGAGATGAATGTTTTGACCTTGTAAGTTTCTAAATTTCCAACTTTTGAACAGTATATAAGCCACGGGCAACTCTCCACACACTTAACTCGACATCTTATCTTGTCTTTCTTTACAAAGTTCAATTTATACATATTTTGGACCCCATAGCTTCTAACAGCTTCGTAAAAATCATCAATGGATGCAAATGATTGCTCCAATTTGAAGGAGTCTTCCCCTTGGCTAGGTTGAATATGAGCAGAATTCACTTCATCTCCGCTAGATTCAGATTCAGATTCGTGAATGCTTTTCAATTCCGTCAAAGATTGTATCGTATCTGCCTCAGAAAAATCAGAAAAGCCTGTTGCCTCACCTAAATGATTATGAGCAGCTCTATCAACTATGGGTGGTGAGTAACCAGTTGATTGGTTATCATCATCAGTGTGATATTTTTCTAAGCTCCATTCATCTAACTCTCCTGTGTCCATCTGGAAAGGGAAAAACATTACCTTAGAATGTTTAAACTTCAATAGTCATCATTGTTTGATGGTTTATATGCAAGTGATTTATATGCAGGTGACTTTTATCATGTCTTTTTTTATGTCTCTGTGACTTAATCTGACTCTATGTCCATGTTATAAATTTCCCTTTTGATTTATTGTGCAATTATCAGTTAACAATATATGGAATTACTACTTAGGTTTGCCTTAAATAGATAACTTCAAGTTGTTAGAGCAGTGCTCTGAACTTTATGTGAAGGTTTGCCTTAAATAGTATTGCATTTATATATATTTTTAGCTTGTATACCTTATTTAAGAACATGTTTGCAACGTTGGGTTGAACAAGGCCTCCTAAATATGATTTTATTCAATTTGATGAGATCAATAAATAAATTATGTATCTATTGAAATTAATCAAACAATAAGAAGATAAAGTGAGAATTAGGATTAAATATAATATGATGATCCATTACAGTTCAAGCTTTCGTGTTTGATAAAATTTGCAGAATTATGTAAAAGTAAAAAGAGCTTATAAAGATGAAATACTCACCTGGATAAAATTCTCTCAAGGTTGTGAAGATGCAGTTGTGAAGAAACGGATCCTCTTGTGTGCGATAATGGGGCTCTTTGTATGTATAAGAAAAGGGCGGCTTCCGTGATTGATCGTAGTATTTGTTTTTTCTCTATACATGCGACTCTGTTTTTTAATAATTTTATGCGATGATGCTTAAAAAAAATATTGTATGCGATGACGCGCCACGTCATATTCCGTTAGGGACTAACTAACGGTGTTAAATTTTCAGGTCCTGAATCGATAGATTACAATCTTTCGGGTCCCTTATTGATTGAAATTATCTTTCGAGTCCCAAATCGATAATACGCTCATCTTTCGGGTCCTGGACCGATAATTTTCCATCCCTTTACATGTTATTTGCATGGAGTATGACTGTATGAGACTGGGAATTACAAAATTGGAAGTAGAATCCCATTCTCAAGGACTCATAACTGTGATAAAAGAGCAAAGGTCACCCCACTGGAATCTGGAACCCTTTGCTTAAGTCATGCTTGCATTTTACCAATAATGTGAAATATAAATGGCGTTCAAAGAACCCAACCTAGGGATGGACTAGGACGGATCGGCCCGGCCCAGTTTAGGCCTGGAGCTTGGCCCGATGGCTATAAGGGCGGGCCTCGGGCTCATTTTTTTTACCGATTACACTATTTTTCTAATTTATTGCCCAGCCCCGTCCCAGCTCGATTCTGACCCGGTACTGTTTAGGCCCGGCCCGGCCCAGCCCAGCCCCGGACTCCTGGTACAAACCCAGGCTAGTACCGAGCCTGAAATTTTTAGTCCCGAGCCCGCACAGTCCTGGCCCGGAGCCTAGCCCAGTGCATCCCTAATCCAACTTGGCTGCAACTAGTGCTGGACTCGGTTCGGGCCGGGCCCGGTTCGGGCCTTGAACCGGCCGGGCCTCGGTTCACCAAAAGGAGGGCCCGGGCCCGAACCGGCAGGTGACCGGTTCCGGGCCGGTTCACCCGCCCCATTTTTATTTTTATTTTTTGGCTTCTCTTATTTAACCCCCTCCCCCTCAACCCCAAACCACCCCAAACCACCTCAAATGGCCCAAAATACCTAATCCAACCCAAAAATTAAAAAAAATTCAAAAAAAAATTAAAAAAAAAATATTCCGGCCCGGCCCGGGCCCGAACCGGCCGGGCCGGTTCACCAAATAGAGGGCCCGGGCCCGGAACCGGTATCCACCGGGCCGGTTCGACCCGAGCCGCCGGTGGACCGGGCCACCGGGCCGGTTCACACAGTAACCGGGCCGGGCCGGTTCCGGTTCGGGCCGCCCGGCCCGAGTCCAGCCCTAGCTGCAACCGGATTAGCTCAAGGTGATATTCATATACATACATGCAACAGTTTCACAGCCCTCTGGGAGGTTCCAAGAAAGATTAAGGGAGCGGTTTATTTGGATTCTATAGGTTGCGCTTATTTAATCCCGTAATTGAGTTTCTTTTCTTCATTTACGCTTCAAGTGCTTTAACTTTGTATTTCTGAAAGGGATGCCTTTCATAAGAGGTTTCGGCCTAGCCCCCTCTTACTTTGTCCCCTTCTCATTTATTTCTGAAATATAAAAAAACTGCTACAAAACAATGTATGGAATTAGCCTAGTCTATCCAACAAAGCAAACACAGAAAGGGCAACACTGCAACAGATATGATATGATTAGGCGTGTTAGAATGAAGTCGGGGCTGCATTCATCAGCATTGTTCCGACCTATGTGCAACATCTAGTAGGCTCTGAAGGCCTCCGAGGCTTAAATCCTGAATGAACTTTCAAAGTTGTGGTAAGACCATATTGCCATGAGCTGATAAATACAGTATACTTGAACTAAAGTATCATGAACGCCATGTGAAGTTCACCTGTGCTTGCCAGAATGGCAGTTTATTACGTAGTACTATGTTTTTAACAGCAGTTGAATATATGGTATAATTACCGATATTATTGAGGCCATTGAGAGATAAGGCTGCCACATTGGTTTCTTGACGCATATAGCAAGAACACCATTTGACATTTCCTTCTCCTCTGAGTAGAAATTTCTATAAACTTGAACTCCTGAAAATTTCATGTCGTAAAGTATTGAGTTAATAATCACTGATCGAACACTCTCTTTGATTTAAGTCCTCACAAACATTTTACAGCTGATGTAGAACAAATTAACTCAATAACACATTATGAGTTGCCACTTAATGAACAGAATACTGGTTAACAAGTTTTACAAGGTTGCAGTTGGAAAGAAATAACTCAAAGAAGAGTGAAAAATAAGCCATCGATCCCCTGAAAGATTAAAAATTAAAAGAAAATGTAGAACAAAATGGGAATATGACAAGGAACCCAACATGACGAATATACTGAGTATGTAAAAGTAGGACTATGTAATAGTACGAAGTACTACCTCCGTTCTGGCTTAAGGTCCCATTGGGTCATTTAGACAATAATTTTTTTGAAAGAATTTAGACAATAATTAAATACTCCGTAACATAATTTGAGTATATTTTGAGAAATAGTTTTAATCGGTATATAATATAAAGGGGCCATTGATGATAACTGAGATATTATAGATTTATTATTTTTAATATTTAATGATTAAATTGTCATTTAAGAGTGCTAATTATTTCCTAAAATAGAAATGAGAACCTTTAGCTGGGACGTCCATAAAAGTAAAGTGAGAACCTTAAGTTGGGAGGAGGGAGCACTATTTAAAAAGAGCAACTCTACAGCCCTTTTGACATTGCAGAAAAAGGGACTGAGAGACTGCAACTAGATTTTTTTTTTTTTGGGGGGGGGGGGGGGGGGGGTAGATAGCTGAAAAATGTATAATATATGCTAATGAAAATATTGTTTTTGGGGATAAATGCGAAATAGTGAAAACCAACATCCTTAGAGCATCATTATAGTCCTGTCATGAGACTTACTACATTACTACTTGTAAATGGCAACATAAGATATCAGAACATGATAATTTCACCTAGAAAATACTACTCCCTCTGGTTTTTAATAAACTTCACACTTTCCTTTTTGGGACGGTCTAAAATAAACTTCACACTTCCTTATTTCCTTTTTAGACAAAGAAATCTACATCAAAACAGTGTCAAACACTGCCAAACAGTGTCTCAGCAGTGCCAAACAGTGTCAAACAGTGCCTCAACTGTGTACTCTACAGTAAAGTCAAATTTCTTTCCTCATTTTGTGTGAAGTCAAAGAGTGAAGTTTAATAAAAACCGGAGGGAGTATATTTCAGTTACCTTCTTCTGTGGTTTCAACTTCTGGAAGTACTTTACAGAGAGGCTCTGCTTCAAGCATCTCACGAAATGAAGCATAATAATGAAGATCCTGAAATTTACTTCTGCAAATTATCATTCTTGCATATGCATAATGATAATATCTGTGAACAGAAATAAAATCTGTGACTAGCATTTTCACCTGAACCTGAAGAAGTAAACATTTGTTGAAAAGGATTGACGCTCCAACTTCAATTCTTAACACCAAAACAGATCACGATGAGAAACTCATAAATGACCAATTGCTGGGTACAACTTGGTTATGAGTGACTTCATAATTGGGTACAAATGAGATAACTTTTTTCTTTACTTTTCTTCATTCACAAACTAATATGCACCATCAAGTAGGAGAACTTTACATTTGGCAATTGACATGCAAACTCTGTGAGGTCAAGTTATGCGTGCAAGTGATGAGGCACAATCTTACTTTTTGTATTGATCGGTAGCACACCTTCCTTCAATGGTTTTGTCTCCACCTTTCAATTTTTTAACAGTGAGGAAAAAACATACAAGAAAATGGTGCCATCAAATAACAAGAATAGTCAAATACAAGAAACATTTGAGCACATTTATGAATCCAAAAGTAGATGCTTCATAAATACTTTTAAGATATGTGAAAAAGGGCTCCTGAACATGAAGTTCAAAGTCCGCGGTTTCCAGCATCTGCATTATGAAAACGAAAACGCTGACAGTATAAATGAAATCAAGATATGAAAAGGAACATATCATAGCAAGGGGCCGACAGGAAGGCTACGGCCTCCCCAACAATTTTTTTAGTGTATATATATGCGGAAAAAAATTTCGCTCATTCAAAAAATAATTTCCACCCCGAAAAATATTTTGAACCCCAGTATGAATTTCCTGTGTCCGGCCCTTATCATAACCGTGCTTACATTGAGTAACTCACATCCTTTTTCTCTCACCAACTTAAAATCGAACTCTTCTTCTTCCCGTTTCAAAGAACACGTTTTGTTCATCTCCATAGCCTCACTATTTGACCTGATTATACTTCCAGATGATATAAACTGGTATAATGAGGCAGCTACAGTTTTGTACAAAGGAGCTGAAATATGTAAAGATTGTACAGCAAATAAGGCACGGTGTACAAAGGCTTACAACATATATCAGGTCGTCAGGAAAATCACGAGCCGTGGGGCTAGAGAAGACGGTTTTGACCTGTGGGATTGGAAGAGTCTCCGTTCAATAGATTGGCGCAGAAGTCATCGGAGAGGCCAATGTCTGCTTCGAGATTGCCGGCGACGGATGAAGCAATCGTGTACCTCAGAAGCTCTTCTATGCACTGCTGGAGTTGGATTGGATGTCTCCCAGGAGACGGCGGCCCTTTCAAAGACTCCGAACTATTCTTCTCGTTATCCATCTTCACCAAGTCTGCAATTTTGCTCCTCACAAGTCACAACTCATCCTTCGTTGAATAAGTGAAACGAAATGTGCACCAGGCAAATTCCAAGTATGGTAACTACTATGTGGTTCGGTACGGCTTAATATTTTATAGCTATATCCTAAACTTTCGGTATGCAAAAATACATACCGTTACCATACCAAAATTTTGGTATATCTTGTTTCGATATACCGAAAATTCGGTACAGTAAGGTACGATATCAGTAAATTATCATGATTTAATATAACAAATTATTATATGTCAAATGAAATAAAGAAAATTAGTGTTAATAGTGATATACCAAAATCATTAATGATTTGAATTATAAAACACCAATGAGATAACCTATTTGTGTTCTATTCAACTTTGAACAAAAAATATTATAAATATGTATAGATATTTCAACACATGATACATGAAGATAACAACACATTCTGCTAAAATAATTTAAACAACATAAATAAAATTAAAGTAACACCGATCTCCAACAAAATGTATAAATAATTCAAGAAACATGGATATAAAGTCATTTATCCTTGAATTAGTGTTGTGTTTCTAGTTACTTTTATAGTTTTAAGGAAATTATTGGAATGAAATTACGGTATGACGGTATACCAGTATACCTTTTATTTTCAAAATATATACTGATAATGTACCGAAGTAATTCGGTATGGTACCATACCGTACCAAAAGTGTCGGTATACCAAACATTCTAATAAATTCAGTATTTTTCGATTTGATAAGTCCGGTATACCGAAATTTCGGTATTTTTTCCCACCCCTACTAACTACGGAGTATTTAGTACGTAGTATTTACGTTAACATAAGGACTGAAAATTAGGAACCACATACAAAGCCCATTATCTTCGGTCGGAATGGATTGTTTTGCAGCCCAAATCCACTCTAGGTTCGAATTGGGCCGGTTAAAGTTCGGAAACAATGGGCTTATTTTTTTTTATCCCAAATAAGTTTTAAAAATACAAAAGGGCCCATTATCTCTTTTTGTATTTTAAAACTTATTTTCAAATATAATTGATAAAAAAATATAAACCGCAAATAATAACACAAATATTAGTATCTAAAATCACCAACAATTCAAATCCAAAAAGATAATTATCTTAATATTTTGTTTAAGATGTATACAAATGAAGAATATAGGTTTTTTCAAAATATTACTATTTCTGTCTCGTTGAAAGGTTCTTACGACAAAGCGGAACATATATTTGGACAATAATTAAATAAGGTATATGTATTAGACAAAAACACGACTCGGACCGAATATAATGATCTTTGTTCTAATCCCTAATTTTTATAACCCGAGACCCTACGGGTAATTTCCGGATTTAACAAAAACTCGACCCAAACTGGACCGATCTCACCCCTAATTTAACTGGGTAACTATTTGCTTACCCGATAAATAGCCGATTTGGTCATTTTTATTACTTCGTCTTTGTGGACTTCATTGACTCGTTAATAAATATGTGAATTCAATTGATTTTTTTGTTAAACGTAAGTGAACATATTTGATAATTTTCCCTAAGATTAATTGTTTTAGGTTTTATTGGCCTTGGCCGAATTATAGATTTTAGGGCCAACTTATGAGCCCGAATTTATGGGTGCGGTCCGTTTTTTTATTCAAACCGATTAAAACGGATCGGGTCAGAATCCGTTTCGGATTTTGGTTCGGTTTTTCCTACCAGCAACTGAAGCAGAGGTAAAGACGTAGGAAAATTGAAAACTCCATTAGCAAACAGAGAGGAAACAGAAGGCGAAAGAAGGATGATGAGAACAAGGTTTTTGTGGTTTACACTGGGCTTCACCTCCGTCTCGGCGCTGATAGCTCAATTCGTTGCCAGGGATCTGCTTGTTGATCGCCGCTCTATCTCTTCTGAGGTACTTTGCCCAATCCATTCAGACACATCCGAAATCCCAACCCCTCACGCTCAATATATACGTGTAATGTTGGTGCTCATTCGATTTTAATTAATTCTCGATTACTTCTTATCCTTTCGTTTCCATTTTTGGGTGAAAGATTGAAGGAAAATTTGGCTCCTTGAAGGGTAGAGTTTCGAATCTCGAAACAGCTCTTCAAGATCATGACCAACATCACCAGGTACGAACTTTCAGTTTGGGTGCTTTGAAAAAAACTGTATCTTCAGCTGAAGTTTCAATTTTAGTGTGATAATTGGATAATTGCATGATTTTACATGAGTAGAAGATGAGTGTTGAAAGAAACTGCACTTTATTTGAGGTACTGCTCCTTTTGCAGGAAGGAGGCAATTAGAAGTGAAGAACATAATCTTAATCATTTTTCCTTTTCAGAGATTGTTGTTAAGTAGCAAAATTACTAGTACTCCATTTGCAACTGGTCTTGTAAAATGATTTCTTCTCCTGGATCTTCTCTTGGAACTTCTCTGTCTCTTTCCAACTAATAATGAAAACCGGGTGATGCTGGTTTGTCTTCCTAGTCTTTTCCTTAAGCAGAGAAGGTATGTATGTTTTTTGGTCTTTTATACTATAACCTCTGGAATTGAAGAAGGTTTGGCATTTTCTCTTACCACTAATGCAGTGTAGACATTACCCTTGTATTGGTACAAGAATTCATTGATTGATCAGTATAAATGCACCCTTAGTATAGTAGGTTTTTAGAAAGAAAAAAGTTGTTTCTTTCCGTGCCCCTATAGTACTTCTATATAGAAAAACAATACAAAATTGGTGTATGAAGGTTTTGGTATTTTCTATTTAGCGTCAAATCTTTTTATTTTTGTATCACTATATTTTAGTTTGTAAAATGAATTCTAAATAATTGGTTTACACTTGCAAAGACTGATCATCCTTGAGCCCATCATTGATACATATCATTACATGAAATGTTTTGCCATTCTGGTCTCAGGGGGTTGTCCACCTCATAGTTGGCTTGTTTATAAGCCTTTGATGTCCTATATTTCAAATCCGGTTGGGTGTGAGGATAGGTGAAATTCGTTTATCTCGGACCATACTCAGCTCTATGAAACATACGTAGTACATTAAATGAAATATTTTTCCATTCAGGAGTTCATGTCCACTGTTGGCTTGTTACATACATGTCTTTTATTTCATATAAGGGCTATAATGTGTTTGTATGTCTTCTCTAATTCTCTATACTCATTCCAATTTTTGGTACAAAAAGACAAAAGCGAAAAAGAATGTTTGGATTCACTATACATTTTATTGGATTGTTGCAAAGCTACAATATATTCCATTCTCTGGCTGCACACGCACAATATGGGCTTCATTTGGTTCGGTATACATTGGCTCATTATCCTTTTCCGAAAATTGCAACAATAACCTTGAGCCAAATTAGGGGTGGACCCGGGTCAGCTCTGGTTCCCAGGCTCCTGCCACCACCCGCAACTGTGACCACAGATTCCGGGTCAGATCTGATTGAGGCTCCAGACCAATTAAACAAATAACCAGGAATGGAACCTAACCGGCCCGGTTGAATTCTGAAGGAGGCAGATCTGGGTTGGAACGATTCCAGTCTGGTCCCAATTATGGCCGTTCTGGAGCTGGGCTGATTCCGTTCCACACTAAGCCTAATACACCTTACCAAATGAAACCATAATGCTGATTCACTATGCTTATAGCCTCCTAGCTAGAGATAAGTGCACACCTATATTATGCAATTCTGTTGTCTGAACCAATTGATTCAATGGCACCTTCGGTTGAAGCTACTCCAAATTCCTGATCTTCCCCATGATGTGGGTTCACAGAACCATCATGGGATCCATGATGGGTTTGCTCTTGGGCAACAATAATAGCCCAAATTACCACCAGAGCCACCATTACCACTGAAAGGAAAAGCAGTGCTCCCCATACTAAATGTGCATTCCTCTTTAAAGGTTTGCAGTGATTTTCAAGAATGTCAGAAAATGCATCTTTCACTGTTTCACACTCGACCAACCTCTCCATTCCTGGGTAAATATTCAGTATGTTCTGAATTGATGTTGTGTAAGCTTTTATTGCGTTAAAGTCACTCACAGATATCAAAATTCCTCCGATGCAGTCAGGATCAGTACAAGTCAACATGCTCAATAACTTCAAAAAATAAGTAATGCAATAATTGTTAATTTGGTATATCACGAAATTGTAATAAAAAAGAACATGTTTAGGTTCCCAGAATGTGATACTTCTGAGGTAATTGATTAGAGGTAACACAACATAACCTTGCATATTCTTGCAACCTATTTGCCTCAATGATGCAATATTACCATGTCGTGGATTTAAAGCAAGAGGGAATATGAGATTGCCTCTGTTTTCTTAGGTATTGTAAATCTATGGTGGTATAGAGAAATATTGTAGATTAATACAGAGTTTGTTCTTGATGATTGGCAATTAAGTAATACTCTTTCCATACTACGTAGTACTAAACTTTGCTAACATTTCTTATTCCGCCCTTCCAAAAAAGACTGTCACATTCTCACTTAACAACCATTTGATTAAGGAAAAATTGAAAATAATAATCCCAATTATTGCCGGTCCGCTGAAAATAATCCCAACTATTGATTATTTTTGTATAATTCCAACTATATAGACTATCCGCCAATAATGGTCCATGACCATATATTACCTCTATAAAAAGTGAATTTTAAATAGAAATTAAGTGTAAAAATTAAAAGTTGAGATTATTTATAGGGATTACTTGTTATATCTCATCTCATCCACTTTAGAAACTACAAGAATTTATTCATAGGGACCATTATTGGCGGAAGGTCCCTAAAGTTGGGATTATTCTGTAATAATCAATAGTTGGGATTATTATAAGCGGATCGCCAATAGTTGGGATTATTACTATCAATTTTTCCTTTGATTAATAATGTTCTCTTTTCAGAAGAAATCTCAAGTGTACAATTTGTACTTTCTTATCCGGCAAGTAGAATTTGCCAAAGTTCTATCACAACGGAGTATAAAACTTAAGGCAGTCTTATAATAGCCAACAATACCCCCCCCCCCCCCCCCCCCCGTCTAATCTCATATCACATGAACCAAACAGCGCTACTGATAATGATAAAGTTAAGGTGAAAAGATTGTTTTAGCATACCTGAGGTATGGCTCCGATCGTAATTGCATTAGATGGGCAGTTATTTGGCCGGTATGCATACTCCGGTGGTCCTGAAAATGGCTGGCAGAGTTGTGCAAAATTTCCATACGATTTGGTTATATTTTTGTTCACCTAAACGTTTTAGAGTTGCAGAAACTGTGTAAATAAACTTCAAAGGATTACCAAAAAACAACCAATGAAAATGCCATATACTGGTCGTATTGCTCACCTGGTTGACAAGTCTATAAATGCCACTGCTAACAACGTCTAGGACAGATCTTGCTGAAACTAATTCGTCGCAAGGAAGAATTAAGCTGAGACTATTATTGTAGGGATCTTGTTGGAAACTCTCAAAAGCTGCGCATGTGTCACCTGCAAATCTGGTAAAATACGGAGTATGTTACATTGTTTAGCAGTTTTTCATACGAATATCTAGTCTCTAAAAACACTAGAGGAACATAACTGGGCCTGGAGGAGTAAAGGGTGGGCTGGGACAGATCAATAATAAAATGTTAACATTTAAGTACATGAAGAGGAGGGAGTAAAGGGTGGTGAGCATACTTGTTAATGAAGAAGTAAATACCAAAGAATAACCAGCAAAGTATTGTAAGTATCCAACAAAGAACAATTAGCCTGCCAACACATAATGAAAATGATTCAGACAAAAAAACAGCATATGTAAACTTCATTTGTCTCTCTTTTCAGCGGTAAGTATGGTGAATTGGTGATTAATCATATATTCCTACATATACTTACCAATATAGAGCCCTCCTGAATTTAAGGATTCCACACACTGCAATAAAATCTGTGCATGAGTGTTAAGTCATTCTATGCCCTACATAAACTACTTCATACCTTCTCAATTAGCCGTTCAATAACGTAAAGGTACTCTTTTTAAAGTGATCATTAACTTTGTTATTAATTATAAAAGGAAACTGGCGTTTGTATCATTGTACAAAGCTTTTGTAGACCTTCACATAAATGTGGAATTAGCTCCTACATTGATCACATAAATTTTCCCCACCAGCAAATAATGTGTGTGAGAAAGTTACATAGACACTGTTCTATGAGTACATCTAGAATTCGAACTTTCGTCACCGACGTGTCTTATCTTTAGTTTGAGCTAACTTGACAAATAAGAATTGTCTATACAAAAGATTGTGAGGTGTGTACAAAAAGTGTAAGAATTGTGAGGTGTGTACAAAAAGTGTAAGAATTGTGAGATGTGTGAATGATGGAGAAATGTGTACTGTAAGTGACCTAGCATTGTTGAACTGTTAAATAGACACTTATTTACAGAGTAAAATTTAAAGTCTACTCTTATAAATGATTAAAGCTACATAAACACACCTGAGAGGGCAATGAGTGCAACCAAATTAAGGGAAACAATGACAGTATTGATTATGTATACAATCCTGAGGCCCATCTCTATGGCCTCACGGTGTTTCCTGGCCTGTCTTTCTATATCAGCAGCTCGAATGTCGAGGCTCTTGGAGGTCGAAGTCAGGAAGCGAGTAGCCTCAGCGGCGGCTCCTCCCCCTCCGCTAGTAGCTGCACTCATTTCTTTCATGGCCCAAGTAGTGTTGTATATGGTGTTTGATGCTCCATCCGCCGTGTCAATAATAATGTCCACAACCCTATCTGCTCTCCGATGAAACCTCGTGTTCCCTCCCAGAACTAGACCTGACGCTATTCTGATTTTTTTATTCATTTCAGTAATGATTTCGTACATTAGTTTAGCACAGAGGGAGTAAATTGAATTTTGGGTATATAAGAGTAAAAAATGGAGGGCTTGGAGACATACACTGCTAGGATTGTGATGAAGATTGCAGAAGTAAAAGGCCAAAGATAATACTGCTTCTGACAGGGGACTCTCTTCATCAGCTTCATTCTACTTCTTTTGCAACAAAATGTGGTTACAAGAAGGAAGAGTCCATACAAGAAGCCACACAAGAGCCACACAACTGCAATGGCATAGCCATATTTACCTGTAAACACAGTTGACTGCACCAAATGTTACATTTTTAGTCTTTGTGACTTATACTTTTGTCACTTTTTTAATCATTAGATTGTTGGCATGCTTACATATCAATTCTTACTAGGAATAACTCTATTGCTGTGGTTAACGGAAAAAAATGACCGAAATCAAACCAATCAAAATTAAACTGATCTAATCATAGCGATCCAATGTACAATTATAGTTAAAGCTTCAAAAACCAATTGAACTGACCAAACTGATCAAGATGTGCCAAAATTGAACGAAACCGACTCAAAACAATCAAATCATAACGTTTGAAAACAAGTGTCTGCATAAAGGAGTCACTTCAGGGAAAAGTGGAAAATGAAAATAGAGAGGGGTAATAAATAATCTCATGAATAAATGTCATTTTTTGTAGAAAATAAGTTTAGAATAAAACTCACACTCCAGTAGTGTTTGTTTCTAATATCATAGCCTCCTCTGTATTTCTTCAACCTGTCCAAAGGATCAACTCTAACTGTGTCATCAGATTGTGATGAATTTCTTACTTCAATCAATTGTCTTTCTGCAGTGTTATTGTTTCCATTCAATGAACAAGATAGGTGAATGAAAGACGGTAAAACACGAATTATTCAATCGTAAGTATATTATTGAGTTTGACCTGGTCCAAGCTTGAAGGCTTCTAAAGAAATGCAGTTGAAGGCAATGAAAACATATAGGAAAAAAATGAGGGACAACATAGTCAACTTTCCCATCTTCAATCCTGCAAGTCATCATTAATTATTAAACCAAAACTCAATCTCCAAAGTTCTTAACAATTGCAGGTATTATACAAAGTGTATTTACATACAGGCCCCTGTCAGTATGCAGAATGGGTGGTTCCTTGTTAGTCCCATTCTATATATATGAACAACACAAAGCTTAAATAATCATTTTCATTATATCTATCACAAATGAAAGTTACTTTAACTTATATTTATTCTAAAATTAAAAGATGGTTAGAAACTTACCAGACGAAGATGTATGAATGATCACTTTATCTGTTAATAATGTGTGCCTGTTTTTTTCTCAAGAACTGAATAATTTGGTGGGAAGCTGAAATAAACCCCACAACAGAAGATATTAGATATATGTCTCTTTGCACTTCTATTTACATTACAGAGAAAGGGAGAAAAGTCCAGCCGCCTTTCATCTAGAAATGAAAGCAAAATGTTCAACACCTGACTTGGAAAGGTAAAAATTCAAAGTCATACCATGAAGTTATCTTTCAAATATAGATATATAAATGTTGAACACAATTTATAACGAAATTGTACCAAGCGTTATAAATGACAATTTTTGCAGCGTATGACTGTATGAAGCCTCTTTGAGCTTTGGCAATGAGTTGTAGCTAGGTGGGAAACTTCTTTTTTCACCTTTGGCAATTGATTAGCCATTTCATATGGTATTGTGATAAACTTTTTAAGCCATAATATGTGGGTTTAATTGTTTCTTTTTTAAATCCTGATGTAAGCGTGATAAGATATGTTCCTTCCGTTCTTGAAAATTCTTCCAACTTACATTTTTTGGGATGTCCCAAACAATTCTTCTCATTTCCCTTTTTGGAAAGGTTTGTGTGGCTGCCGTTCATTTACCTTTTTCTTACTCAATCACAACCACACATTCTTACTTTATCTCCACTTTCTTAAACTTCAATCCAAGTTAAATCGGAGAGACTTTTCCGGAACGGAGGGGGTAAGTATCTCATGGTATGATGACATTATGCCATCACGGTGACACTCTCAAGAAAGAGATCACAAATTCGAATCTTATCTCAATCAAGGACGTTGATATTTAAAATGAAATATATACTATAATAAATTAGAAACACAAAAACTAAATATGGTTGAACCGGTTCAATTAATGATAAAAATAGGGAAAAATAATTAAAATACTTCAAACTTTGAAGGGGTGTGAGGTAAGCACCCCAAACTTGATAAGTAATTTAAATACCCCAAACTTTATATAAACATTATTTTATCATCATGGTCATATATTATTTCTTTCAAAAATGTAAATTTGTGGTGTTAATTGCATAACTTAAAATAGCAAATTAAAAATAGCTGCAATTATATGGAGTGGAGTATTATTTATATTTATAATGGAAGTTTAGAATGTTAATTGTGAAATTAACACAAAAAACTAATGTTTTTTTAAGGAAATAGTATGTGACCATGGTGCCCAAAAAAACTTTTTATATAAAATTTAGGTATTTAAATTACATATGTAATTTTGGGATGCTTACCTTACACGGTTACACCCCTTCAAAGTTTGGGATGTATCAATTATTTTTGTCTAAAAAATATGTAAAAAAGTACCTCACATAAAATCTAAATGATCGGAAAATTGTGACAAACGGTCACCATTTGGAGTCTAATTTTTTTTATGTAAATTCAGAGCAGGCAAACTTTTCATAAGCATTCTCAAAGCCGGCCAACTACTTCAAAGAAAAGTAGAGACCACAAATAATACTTTTCTTCAAAAGTTAAACCCAATTACGTACCTTTATTACTTTAACTTTTTTCAAATTTATAAATGAACTAGCGTGTGATAAGCGCAATGCGCGAGAATCAAGGCCCAATATACTGTTAAAAACGTCAATTTTTGGTCTCTTTACACATATACATGCATGGCTTGATCATTTATTTTAGAATTTTTCCATACAAATATTGTGATCACTAACAAAAAAAGATGAAGTACATATTTGATCAGAATTATTGTGCCAAACTTTATTCGTACATATTCTAATATAATCCATTTATTCTATTTACCCGTCTTAATTGTCATCAAGTCCACCCGGGTTATATCTATTTTTTATTTTATATAGGGATAAGGGTCAGATAGGGCCTCGAACTCGAAAAAAAATGTCAAATAAGGTCATATTTCGGATGCTCTGTTTGGCCGACGCCATTTGGGGCGGTTCCCGATGGAATTTTTTGATGAAATTTTTTGAGCATCTTCCTCATTAAGTCTAGTTTACTCATACCAAATTTCAGCTAAAAACTCAACCGGAAAGGTAGTCAAATGAGTTTTTGAAGATAACTGTGAAGTTAGACAACGCCGTACATTTCGGAAAATTATTTGACTACCTTCCCGGTTGAATTTTTAGCTGAAATTTGGTATGGGTAAACTAGACTTAATGAGGAAGATGCTCAAAAAATTTCATCAAAAAATTCCATCGGGAACCGCCCCAAATGGCATCGGCCAGACAGAGCATCCGAAATATGACCTTATTTGACATTTTTTTTCGAGTTCGAGGCCCTATCTGACCCTTATCCCTTTTATATATCAATTCTTTATCATATTCAATTTCAGTTTTTGGGTTTAGTAATTATTGCATATAAAAACAATATGCGTTTAGAAGGAAGAATTGCTTGATGCAGATGCTCAATCAACATTTTAAATTATTGAAATACATTTTAGATATTTGACTTTACAATTTACGAGCTGTATTACGCAAACCATTATGTAATATTCAAAATATTAAAACAACACTCATCAAATGAATAACTACTACGTATTAAATTATTAATCAATCAATAATACTTGAGCTTATTTAATGGTCATCTAACGGTCTAGCTTCTCAATAACTAACGGCAGAGGGTTATTTAAGTCCATTAAAAAAGAACAATGATTTTTTAAAATAGTGCAATATGCCATGCTTAAAATTTATCTACATAATTCAAGGGTACTAACTAAATAGTGTTCACTATTATAATGTTTTTAGATTAAGAGAGGACGTTTGAAATAGTTAATAGATTTGTATGCTTCTGAGCAAATACTCCCTATGTTCTTTAATAATTGTCTCTTATTCCATTTTCATATGTTTTTTTTATTAATTGTCCTTTCCATGTTAGAAAGTTTTTTTTTATATAAATACCCACTTTATTACTTTTACTCCTGCTTTTAACATACTACTTTTTCGTTCATACTTTATCATTACTTTACTCTTCTTAATATAGTATCCTTCCAATTTTATCATCACTTTACTCTTCTTAATGTACTCTCTTTTCTACTTTATCATTTATCCTACACATTCCATACTATTCCTACTATTTTTCTCTTAAAACATGTGCTCAAGTCTAAAGGGACACTTAATAAAGAACAGATGGAGTACTACATAATTCAAATATATTAATCCTTCTACATGCAGGAAACTATACCTTAATTCCTTTTATTTTTCAATGTGTTAATTGCTGAACTCAGGGGATGGTTTTCTTGGTCATGCCTCTGAAAGCGAGAAAAGGACTCCTCTGTCATCGAGGGAAGATCTATGAGACTCTGATACAAATCACGATATTTGTATGAAAGCAAGGCTGGTCACAAAGGATAATTGTTTGCCTACATCAAATTTAAATACTCAAATAAATTATACAGGAAAAGGCACCAACGATCGCATACGATGAAGACTAAATCTCAGTCACAAGTGGAATTCTACCGTATATATTGAGCTGTTTGGGGCTTTGGGCCTATTGGGTGATCTTCTTTGTTTGTTTTTTTCATTATTTTTTTCTTTTTTAATTTGTTTCCTCGTGTACTCCTTTGTTCGTGTTTCAATAAAATTTCCTCTTTATTAAAAAAAATGTTCCCTTTTCTATTTTGTCTTTATTGTAAAATTAAATGACCAAAATCAAAGGTGCTGAGATTATTTGACAGTTGATGAGTTGGCGGTTGGCGTATGCAATGCTTCTTCTGCGAAATTTACCAATGCTTCTGTAGAAATTGTTGGGAATATATAGGGAAGAAAATGATAAGGTAGACAAATATGAAAAGAAAAAAGAAATTGTTGTAAATAGAAATAACACCGACAAAGTTCACAAGCATGGATAATTATGTGTTATTCTCAAAATTGGACTCATTTATATCTAATAAAAGAGTAAAAGAAGTTCAAATTACTCGTATTTTTTAGTAGTGAATGAATTCTATATTGTAAAAAAAATCATCTTATTTGAGAAAATATAATACAACAATTCTTTAATCTTATTTGGAGAAATAAATAGCAAGTTGTGAAGGATTCAATTCCTAGCAACATAGATGAAGCTTCCTTCATATTCATGAATGACAAGGGATCTTTCACACACTTAAGAGTCACCTTTATCTTAAAACTTTCACACACTTTCACACACTTGAAGCTTCATCCAAACTTTCACACACTTTCTTCCTAGCTTCCCCTATCCGGTTTTGATCCTATAAATAGAGAAGCTTGTAAAACTTTTTATTATTAGACATTAGATCATCTAGCTAGCACAATCAAGAAAAGTTTTATAATATCCATGAAAAATATGTGATGTGTTTTTTAGAGTTTTTTTCAAGTTAAAGCTTGTGTGTCTCTTATTCCTATTCTGAAAGTAATAAAAATATTTATTTATGATATTAGTTCCCACATTTTATTCCAAACAAGTTGATCGTTGATATAAATAAATAAAAAACCTAGATTTGGGGAAGTGTTAACAAACTTCCCCACGACATTTGTGCCACATAAAAAGAACGAATACAGTACAAAAGGTCAACAAAAACCAACTGATCGAAACCTCAAAAGTTCAGTGAAAGAACATTGACCAAAAATAGATTTGGCCAATTTGACTTCGGAAACTCCGGAAAGATAGATGGCTCACATTTATTAACCGCATGAAATATGAAATGGTACGTGATTATATGACCCAAAAATATGAAGAAAAGTAAATATTTAATAAACACCAACTACGTTAAGTTTTTTTGAAGGGACTATAACAACCATAGTGATGGTTTATACTACAATGACATTTTGACATTTTTATCTGAATTTGAGTTACTTGTCATATTTTTGTATTATCGTATATAAGTTCCACGTCTTTAAAACTCCTTTAAAATACTCCGTATAAGGATTAAGGCATAACATATTTTTCACTTTTTGTGCATGTATTTCACCAAAAGCAATTTTGACGCACTCCATTAATGCTCAAACATTTCTTTTCATTTCTAGGAGCGCTTGCGCGCAACATTGTTAGGCTTGTTAGAGCTGTCTTAGGATAAAATTGTATCATTTATTGTATAACGAGAGAACAGAATGGAGTGACATATATTCTTGCTTAAATGAGTAGAAATCAGGTGATGAAATGGAGAGAATTTGAGGAACCTCCGACTAGAAGTGTGATTGCGAGAGACCTTTCTTGAAGTATGTGGTGTCTTCCCCTCCATTAAGATCCCAAAAAGAATTTACACAATGTACTAGGTAGATTGTACGAATAATACACAAACACACACATGGGTGTACATATACATGGGCATATCAATGTTTTTATCTTCTAATTTTTTAAAACCAATTTTTAATTATTCTGGGATACAGTTTATGTGATTCAATAGAAGAATTTGTGTATTTAAGGTTGCTGGGTTAATGGCCCGACCGTGGGCCGGCTCATTACCCATTGGCAAATAAAGCACCAAA